GACCGACAAGGCTGCAGGTGAGCAGGGAGCACAGGTGACCCCTGATCCCCCACCCCAGGCTTTTGTTCTCACTTCTCTCAATAGGCAGAGCCCCCAGTGAGGAAGAGTAAGCTGGGGAAGGGGGATGATTCCTCTTACTGTTATCACTGTTACTACTTCCGCTAGTAAGAGCAGTTTCCACATAGTGAACACTTCCAATGTGCTGAGCCTTTTCTTTTTTATTGTTTTGAGACAGAGTCTCGCTGTCGCACAGGCTAGAGTGCTGTGGCATCAGCCTAGCTCACTACAATCTCAAATTCTGGGCTAAAGCGATCCTCCTGCCTCAGCCTCCCGAGTAGCTGGGACTACAGGCATGTGCCACCACACCTGGCTAATTTTTCTATTTTTAGTAGAGATGGGGTCTCACTCTCACTCAGGCTGGTCTTGAACTCCTGAGCTCAAGTGATCCTCCTGCCTCGGCCTCCCAGAGTGCTAGGATTACAGGCGTGAGCCACCGCGCCCAGCCCACGTGCTGAGCCTTTTAGATAGTTTCTCATTTAATCCTTACAAAGACTCTATGAGGTAAATTTTCTTATCTCTATTTTGCAGATGAGGAAACTGAGGCTTAGAGAAATTAGATGACTTATCCAAGTTCCCTGAGTAAGTCAGGTCAATTTGACTCCAAACCCATACACTTAATAAACTCAGGTCACCCTGTAGATGGCATTTTACATAGAGAGCTGGTGCCCTGTAGGAGGGGAAGACTGTGGGTAGGGAGAAGGGTGGGGAGTGTCTTGATCAGTTCCAGAGAATTGTAGGTGAACGGTTTCCTGGGGGTCTCTGGATGTGATTGGCTCTGTCATGTCCTGAGTGGTGTCACCTGTGGCAGTGTCATGACTCCATAGACCTTAGGTGAAACCTAGCACGGATTTCTTCTCTAGGAAAGATTACTGATGCCTTCAGTTCTCTGGCCAAGAGGAGCAATTTTCGTGCCATCAGCAAAAAGCTGAATTTGGTATGTGGAACGGGGCTGGATAGGGGAAGCCGTGGGTTCACTCCTTTGTGGGCTATTTTTTGTTTTGTTTTTTTTTCACTGTCCATCTTAATTTGTCCTATTTGTGGGCTACTTTGAATCTACAAAAACTTTTTGTCACTTTTGTTTGTAAAAAGATCCTTTTGTTTGGTAGCCCTATAGCTTGAGCTTAATTTAATAATGAGACAACACAGAAAGATTCATTCATTTAATAAACATATAACAAGCACCTGCTGATGTCAGGGAATACTCTAAGTGCTGCTTCAGTGACAGACATGTCCCATGTCGCTGAAGGGCAGAGAAAGGAGAACCCTTCCCTCCAGCCCTTCAAAGGAAAGTATTCCAGAGAACTGGCGGGTACTGAACAGAAGCTGTCATCTTTGGTTGTGGATTTTTTCTCAGGGCTATTGCTAGTTCTCCCTTCAGTTGAAATAAGAGCTGTTCTCTGGGATATGCCACTTTATCTGACCCTTTAAAGCTGCCGTCCCCAACCTCTGGGCCGCAGGCTGGTACCAGTCTGTGGCCTGTTAGGAATTGGGCCACACAGCAGGAGGTGAACAAGCAAAGCGTCATCTGTATTTACATGGCTCTTGTCACCACCTGAGCGCCGCCTCTTGTCAGATCTGTCCCCCCACCCTGTGCATGGAAAAATTGTCTTCCACAAAACCAGTCCCTGGTGCCAAAAAGGTTGGGGACGCCACTTTAAAGGATTAGGGAGCTGAGTTGTCACTTGCCTCATATAGTCCCTTTGCCCTCTAGATCCCACGTGTGGATGGCGAGTATGATCTGAAAGTGCCCCGAGACATGGCTTATGTCTTCAGTGGTGCTTACGTGCCCCTGAGCTGCCGAATCATTGAGCAGGTGAGAGTGAGTCACTCTTGCTCCCATTCATATTTCACTGTCTGCTTTCTGCTGGTCCCTGGCCTATCCTGACTTTTTATTACTTGAGTAACAGTCTGGCAGCCATGCCCTTCCTTCTAAGCCTGACACTGTCTGCACCGTGGAACCAGTGCTTATGCTTTCCCAGGTGCTGGAGCGGCGGAGCTGGCAGGGCCTGGACGAGGTGGTCCGGCTGCTCAACTGCAGCGAGTTTGCATTCACAGGTGTGTGGCGCTGACAGTGGGGCAGGGTGGCAACAAGAGGGGGCCAGATGCATTACCCAGGACTAGCGTGTCAGGAAAGAGGTGAGTCTGGTTATGTCTGATCCTCACAGACATGATCAAGGACGACAAGGCTTCCAGCGAGTCCCTGCGTCTCATCTTGGTGGTGTTCTTGGGTGGTTGCACATTCTCTGAGATCTCAGCCCTCCGGTTCCTGGGCAGAGAGAAAGGTAAGGGAGAACAGAAAGTGAGAACAGGCCTGTTTGGGATCTGGGGGACAAAGGACAAAGCGCCCTGCACAGGGAGGCTTTTCTCCTGGCCTGTGGGTACCACTTGCCGTAGCCTTGCTGTGGGCTGCTACAGCAGGGAGCCCAGTTCCACCAGGCTTGGAAAGCTGCGGTCCCCGAGAGCATGCTACTCATGTCTCTGTGTCTGCACACTGGGGCTCTCAGCCGAGGGACTGTGGCAGTGGAGGTGCTCATTATGGTTACTGCTGGGGCCTAAAATCTGCTCTCAGTCACTCCTGCTGCTGCTTTGGCCTCCTTAGGGTACAGGTTCATTTTTCTGACGACAGCAGTCACCAACAGTGCTCGCCTCATGGAGGCCATGAGTGAGGTGAAAGCCTGAAGTTTTCCCTGCCAGTGTGAAACCTTCTCTGGACACGTTCCTCAGTGGGATGCGGGAGTCTGGCGCCCAGCTGCTAACGCAGTGTCCGCCGACTAGCTACCTGCGAAGAGCTGGGACCACAGAACTACTGGGGATTTAGAAAACATATCTGAGGACAGAGTTTACTTCCTGCCCTCAGGATATTTCTCTTTTTGGTTTATGAAGTACCGCCCGTGCTGCTAAGATACAAGGGAAGAGGTATCCTTTGCTAAATCCTGTTTGAATATGATTGTAAATAAAGCCTCTACTCTTGGACGTAATGTGTTTGCAGTTCTGGACGTGCACTTCCATCTTTATTAGTGAAAGCACAGTAGCGCTTTCCACAGGGACTTCACCGGCTTCGTGGCCCAGATCTATAGCAGCTCTGGGCCTAGGGTGGTTCTTTCTAGTAAAAGTCATTAAAGTGCCTGCACCAGTTGCCTCAACCATAAAATGAGGGGGATAGATTAGATGAGTAAGAAGCACCAATTCTAAAATTTTGTGATTCATTACACTTTTGAGAAAATGAGTTTGTGTTAAATGAGTTTGTTATTTTAACTTAAGGAGGCACTTTAAGCTTTTTGTTTATTTTTGCAGAATGAATATGTCCCGTTAGAGCCATTTCTGGCATCAGCAAACAGTGCTCCTATAAAGGTCACCAGTAGCCTTTCTCTCTCTCTCTCTTACCTTGTAAGAATTATGAAATATAACCACATATATTAATGGTCTCTTTTCAGGCCTCTTCTAACTTGATCTCACTGATGACCAGTCTTTCCTTGAAGTTTTTTTTTTGAGAAACAGTCTTGCTCTGTTGCCCAGGCTAGAGTGCCGTGGCATCAGCCTAGCTGACAGCAACCTCAAACTCCTGGGCTCAGGTGATCGTCCTGCCTCAGCCTCCTGAGTAGCTGGGACTATGGGCATGCGCCATGATGCCTGGCTAATTTTTCCATTTTCAGTTGCCCAGCTAATTTATTCCTATTTTTAATAGAGACGGGGGTCTTGCTCTTGCTGAGGCTGGTCTCAAACTCCTGACCTCAAGGGATCCTCCCACCTCAGCCTACCGGAGTGGTAGGATTACAAGCATGAGCCACCATGCCCAGCCCTTAAAATTCTCTTTTATTCAGCTTCCATAACTCTCTCTTTTGTCCTACAATCTCTTAACTTGTTCCTCTGTCTCCTTTGATTACTTCTTTCTGCCCACCCATTTGACATCTTGGCCTTCTGAAATGCTGGGGTTATAGGAGTGAGCCACCACACCCAGCCATAGTGGAGGTCTTTATTGGGTTTTTGCAAGACTGTCACTCCCATCTGTTCCCCACTCCACAGTGCCACCACTTACCAAAAGAAAGACAATAAAAACCTGAGTTATTAGATCATTAAAGGTATTCTTTCCACAGAATAATTATAATTCTGTATCAGAACATATCCCAAGGAACAGGCATGCCTCAAATCAAATATCCAGCTACAACTATAAGTGTTATGTCAAGCGAGTGTACAAGATCAAAGACACTGCTGACAAGGCTGTTGGTTCACAGAAAAAATACATGGCATCAGAAAAAGATTCTATGGCCAAGTAAATAAACAGTGGCAGTGCATTACACTTACATTCTAGAACAACACTGTCCAGTAGAATATAATATGGCCTTGTAATAGGGTCATATATTAATACACACATTATACAGCATTTTACATGCTGAGTATATGCTCTGAATGGATATCTTTGCAATGGTTCTATGACTTTGTTAGCGTCAGAACTAGTGTAAAGGACATGATAGCAAAATTGTCTTATCTCCGGATACTTAATGCTGGCCCTGGGAACATGTCTGAAGATCACAAATTTTTGAAGCCTCCATTTGAAAAAGTCTCCTCTCAAGTTAATCAAAGGGTGCAAGTAAATTTAAAAAGTGGTCCCTGTGGTCCACTATACTGGTGTTGTGAACGTTTGGCATGCTGCTGACAAGTTAAAGAACATTGTAAGTATCAATGGAATTTTTCTTTTTCTTTTCTTTTTTTTAGGCAAGCACAAAGATGAGGTTTATTGAGGAAGGAAAGATAGGATTATAGGGCAAGAGCAAGATATAGGTTTACAGAGCATGGTACATACGCCACAGATGACACGACCAGACCCATCGTCGCAGCAGGGAAAGCAAAAGGAAGGGCAAAGAGAGTAGAGCCAATGGAATTTTTCTGAAAGTAAGAAAAACATGGTTCTGAAGGTGAAGCAAACAAGCATCCTTTACCTTTAGGGAAAAGACATAAAGAGAATTCACAGAAGTTAGTTGGCCAATAAACACATGAAAAATGCATAATTTCAGTTATAATCAAGTGCCAAACAAGGAGATGCCATTTTTTGCCTATAAAATGAGGAAAGAGGTTTAAAAGTACAGTAGAATTCAACACTGCTGAGGGTAACAAGAGAACACTCTTCCAGTGAGGTTTGGTGGGGAGGGCATATTAATAATGGGAGCATTCAATAATTACACTTCCAGAAATCACCCGTGTGAAAATAATGCAAGAAGCAGAGATTCATGTATGAAGATATTCAGCTCAGTGTTACCATAAAAATTACTATGTAGGCCCAGAAAGGTGGTTCACACCTGTGATCCCAGCACAGGGAGGCTGAGGCAGGAGGATCGCCTGAGCCCAGGAGTTCGAGGCTACAGGAAGCCGTGATCACGCCATTGTACTTGAGCCTGGGCGACAGGGCGAGACCTCGTCTCTAAAAAAAAAAAAAAATGACTATCTAAGTATGTATCACAAAATGGCTGAATTATGAGATATCTACACACCAGAATATTATGCAACCATGAATCACTCAAAAAAATGTGATACTGAAGCATTTAGAGATGTAACATGTTCATCGAGAAAAGCAGGATACAAAAGTATCCTGGCGATCCTAGTCTACTGCAGCCTCCAACTCCTGGCCTCAAGCGATCCTCCCGCCTTAGCCTCCCGTTTCATGTAATCGTTTATGAACTCTCGTAATTTGAAAGAAATCCACGCCCAGTTGATCTCCATTTATTCACCCGTCACGTGGCCGGCGCAAGTCGCTCAATGTTTCGAGTGTTCGCTCCCCTGCAGTGGCGGTAACCGCCGCCTCCCAGGGTTGCTGTGGACGTTAAACGGGATAACCTGTGTGGGGAGTGTTCGCTATCGCTGCCCGTCCTCGCAGTGCGAGGTGTCCTACACGCGGGGAGGATTCCCGCCTAGATCAGCTCCACGGCTCGCTGCCCGGAGGAGCGAGGGCCGCGAGGTGGGCGCTGGGCCTTCCCACCGAGCCGGCTTCCGCACCCGGGCCGCTCGGGACAGCGACTGCTCCCGCCTCCTTCCCGGCGGCTCCCGGGCGGCGGCGCGCACTTCGAATCAAAACGGCTCGGGGCGGAAGGGGCCGGAGGACGCGCGGGCCCGAGAGGCACCTCCCACCCCGCCGCCGCAGAGCGCCCAAGGCCGCACCCGGCAGCGCGGCGACGCCAACCTCCGCCCCGGCGCGGGGACACGCCTGCGCACTCGCTGCTCGCCGCCGGAGGGGCGGGGCGGGGGCGGGGCCTCCCGAGGAGCGACGGGACGCGACGCCAATCGCGGGGCTGCTTCGCCCGTGGCTCGGTTTGAAATTCTGCGGGCCCAACGGCTCGCGGAGCGGCTGCACCGAGCGAGTTCGTCGGTCTTTGCGGTGGTTGCTGCGCTCGGGCCCGCGAGGAGTAGGTCGGGGGCCTTGACTCTCGGCTGCCTGGAGCGTCCGCCATGAGGAGAAGGTGCGGGTTGCGGGGAAGTCGAGGGGACGTGGGAGAGAACGACGCCCGTCTCGGGTGCGGCTCCGAGATAGCCCCCCGCCCGGGGTTAGGGTGTCCCGGCAGCCCGCGTCGAGTGAGGCCGGGGCTCGGCAGGGCCCAGGCGAGGCCTGACGCGATTTTCCCGGCGGCCGCAGGTTCCCGCAGGCCCCGACGCCGGGCTTGGGCCGAGCGCTGGTTCGGGGCCCGCGCAGGCTCCGGGCCGGGGCTCAACGCTTGCGCCCGGCAGCCCCACCCTCCCCGCCGGCGGCGTCGCAGGTGCCGCTCCTTGGCTAGATGGCTGGTTCTAAGTTCTGCGTCTTCTGTGGTCATGGCTGCTTACTTCTCTTTAAACAAAGTCTCGAAGTGTATTTATCATTTTGCTTTGTGTCTGGCATCCGGTGTTATCATTTTATTGGATTGGGAAGATACCTTGGTTTCCTTGCAAGTTAAGAATCTCTGATTATGGAATCCTTTTTCGGTCGTTTTAACATCTTCCTAGGCAGTGCTGGGGAAGGACTGTCTTGAAATCGGGACCTGACGGGTGACATTGCCACTTGACAGCCTTGTGTCTTTGGGCAAGATATTAAATGTCAGTTTTCTCATTTTTGAAATAAGAATAATATCAGTGCATAGGACTTTTGTGTTGAGCTATACAAATGTTAACTTTATTTTCTGAAAGTAGTGGGTGAAGTATTGTGATGATTCCGTATTAAGTAATTTGTAGTTATTAGTCGAAGTGATTATACTAAGGCTTTGTAAGATTCTTTGTTGCATGATCACTAATTCTGATCGGTCTTTTTCAAGTGCTTGCCCTTGGGACAATGGGAATTGAGTACAAATCATTGGTACCACTGGAAAAAATGAATCTCAGTATAAGGTTATGAACTTCAAATATTTTATTATCTAAAGGACAGTATATTTAAGCTGCTGTGGGTGTAAGCTAATGATGCATTCTAAGGAAGTAAAACCTTAAATGACATTTACAGGAAACTTATTCAAAGTCCATTAACAGTTTATGGATTGTTCACGCATCTTATGCTTTCAAAGGAGTGAATGAAGGGGGAGAAAAAGTGACCTGTTAACTTTGGTTCCAGGCTGATGGAAATAATTCGACTTTTGTTTTTTTTTTTTGTTAAAGCTAAGTATTAATAGAATATAATTAGACTTTAAAACAGCAACTGGGATTACTCTACTAACCAAAACCAGATTTTGGGTAATCTGGATTTCAGGTATTCATATTTAGAAAGGACTGTGAGAAATAGGCCTCAGAAACCTAAGGA